TATATATATATATATACTTAAAGTAGTTTTATTTATTTTTTATTATATATACAAGAACTTACCTAGAGATCCGTATAATCCCCATCTTTTGTCCCTGTGCACTGTTTTTGTTTTGGGTGAATGGAAATATGGGATGACGGAAAATGAAGAGGAATGAAATTTAAGTGATATATAACATTTCTTGTGATTGTTTATAAGAGAAATAAGATAGATATGAGGAAACTTGGTGCCCCACTTGGAACTTTTCTTCGTGTTATAGACATGAATTTGGATGGAATCGGGACAGCAAGTAGTGTTCCATCTTTACCCTTATCTCATGCATTGTTTCTTTTGATTTGTGGCAGAAAAGATACAAAATGAGTTTGTTCTTTTGGTTTTGCTCTTCTGGATTTCCGAAACAACGTGGCCCATTCCTTCACTTCATGCAAAACATTATTGAGGATAAAAGGCTCCACTACGTTTGTATTGAGCATAATTCTTGGGAATTCGTGGAAGCTGTGCACATGATTGGGAATTCATGGGAGGGGAATGAGCTTCTTGCAGGAGCTTGCCTACAATTATTCCACACAGTTAGCAATTTTCTACATAGTTACAAGACATTATAAAAAAGAGTTAATTACCTATACATTTTCAGTGTAACGTTTTTTTTATACTGGTAACCAATCATATCTTTTAATAATACTATGTCAGTTGCTTATTTAATGAAATAAAAATAAAATAAAATAATTTAAAAGATTTGATTGGTTGCTATGGTAAAAAACTTTACACTGACAATGTATAAATGATTAACTCTTATAAAAAAAGAAAAAAGAAAAACTATTTTATCATTACTTCTTGATTTCTTTTTCTTTTACTTATTTACCTAGATCCGAAAATGAGTCAAGTTAAATCAAGTGCAATCCATCTCTGTTCAATAATATTTAGCTTAGCTTATAATTCTACTCAAATTCATCATAAACTATTTTTTTGAGCTCTTATTAGACTCAATTTAAACTTGCTTAACAACTCGGTTCAACTTGAATAGCAAGAACCAAAAGTCAAATTTTGAATTTTATACATTTCAAAGTTTTAATTTAATAATAAATTTTAGATAAAGTTATTGTTTAACTTTTTTTTAAAAGATAATAATAACTTATTTTATTAACTTTGTAAGATTGTAAGATTATAAGGTATGACTAAAAAAACGTAATTACAACTAATATCTTTATAAATAAAGTTTAATTCACCTTACCTAAAATAATAAATAACACAATTCATAGCAATAAAATTTTGAAGTGTCCACTTCTTTTATTATTATTAACTTATAACTAAATTTTGAAGATTCTTTAAATTTTATAAATTGAAATTAATTAATAAAGAATTAATTATTTAAATTATATGTTCATATATTGACTCAATTCATAAGTCAAACAAGTTGAATTATACGCAATTTAAGTTTAATTCATTTATCAAACTTCCTATTTAATTCAATTTCAACTCATTTGATTTATGAATCAAATTCAATGAACTAATTAACTAATCAAATTTTGAACTATATATTTTCAAATTGGTTCACTTCATTACATCACATTTAACCAATTGAACACTACAAATAATTTTTAAATTTTTTTTACTGATTCAAAATAAATAAATATATATATATATATATATATATATATATATGAGGGGGGTTATAATTTTACCGGTGTAACTTTTACTAAGTATTACACCGCTCAATAACTTTATATTAATTGTGAATTTTGAAAATTCAACTGTTAGATTGAAAGTTCATATCACTTTATACGTGTATATCAAATTTTGTTAAAATTGAACAACAACTTGAAGGTAATTAAAGTGTTCATATTTTAGTGTATTTTAAAATGAATATATTACGTCAATTTTGTTTTATAAAAATGAAGTATCAAATTATCTTGGATTAATATAAAATTTTGTATATATGATCTAAGAGATATGAACTTTCAATCTAACGGTTGGATTTACAAAATTCACATTTAATATAAAATTATTGAGTAGTGTAATACTTAGTAAAAGTTACACCGATGTAATTATAACTCCCCTATATATATATATTACCACTTAATCTGCGAAACAATTAACATAAAATTATTCTAATTTAAATAATATTTTATATAATTATATTAGATACTTAAAAATATTGTCATTCATTATAATCCAATCCGATATAAGTTGGATTGTCCATACATATAATTTTATATCAAAATAAAAAATAATATTTGTTTTCTTCTCTATCTCACATTCTCACTTTTTCTTCTAAATAAAGTATAAATATGCTCAATGAAACTTTTTTTTTAATATGTTCAATAAATAAATTATATTTAATTATAACTTGAAAAATTATTTTAGTAATTTTGAAATAAAATCTTAAAAACTAAGGTTGTGTTTGGATTGAAGGATGAATTTAGGAGAGTGGAAAAGGAAAAATTTGAAGAGAAAGAGAGTGGAAAGTGAAGTTATTTGGATTAAGGGAAAAATAGTGAAAAGTGAGTGGAAAGTTTGTGAGAATTTGTGTAGAAATTGATTGATGTGATAGATAAAAATTAAAAATTTAATAGAAGAATATGTAATTTACACTTTTACCCTTGAATTAAAATTGAGTAGAATATTATTTATTGTAAATAATAATAATTACAATAAAATTATATTAATAAGTATAATTTATTAAAAGAATAATAAATAATAATAATAATAATAGTAAATATTAGAAAAATAATAAGAATCATAATAAATAATAATGATACTAATTATAATAAATAATAATAATATTAATAATAATGATAATAATAATAATAATATTTATAATAATAAATAATAATAACAAAATATATTATGATAATTATGTATGCCACCATAATCGATTATGTGTCATGCATAATCAATTATGCTGGTTGGGGTATTATCGGGTTTTTTCATTTTTTACGTAGCTTTCATCTATTTTCTTTACAATTTCGCGAGGAACGACAATGCGGGATCTTTCACTTTTCTTTTAGTGCAAATCAACGAAAATAAACGTCAAATTCTTTCACCTTTCATTTTTCGTGAACAATAAATCCCAGAAGGGGCTTAAAGATCAAACACGGTGTTAGGAAGGGCACTAAAATATATAGAGTTGAAAATGTTAGGAAGGGCACTAAAATATATAGAGTTGAAAATGTTTAATTAATATTGTATCCATCATTGCAACATGACAAAAGACACCTCACTTTCGAAATGACAAATGATTAGATGGATTGCAATTATCATAACAATCACCTTTCTGAAAAGTATACTAAACTTCACAATTTTTAGCACTCTCTCGGACATATTTTTTTATTCGTTAACGGTGTAAGGTCATGAAAGTTATATCTTTAAAATTTAAATTTTAAATATAAAATAAATTATGTTAAGAAAAAAAATATTTATTTTGTATGTGTTTTTGGTCTTTAACTTCCAACAATATGAGACGTAAATTTTGACTATCATTGATTAAAAAATGTATATAAAAAACTGTCATTTTGTTCCAAAAAAAAAAAGCTGTCATTTTATTATATGTTTAAGAATTTGATTCTTAATAACATCTTCAAAGAGATCACTTATTATTTTTTTATTCATTAAAATTATACCAACATTAAAGTTTGAGCATATTATCAATTCCTACCACTAAAACGATCATAGTGAAATCACCTCCTTTAAATGAATTTACGAATTTCATGTTAATCTATGCTCTCAAGTCTCATCTGAGTGATATTCGATATACATAATATATATATATATATATAGATAAAATAAACGTGATCTATTTTGATGATAGTTGAAACATGAAACCTCGAGGGAGGTATCTTGCAGTTGGCAATGCAGGGTGTCTTGAATTACATAGTACACTGTCACTTCTGTCGTTTCCTTAATGACTGCCATGTTACTCTCTCTAATTAATTTAATTTCCTTCTTCTAACTTCAGAGTTCACTTCTACCTTCTCACACATCATGCATTCCATTTCACCACTTTCTCACTCACTCTCTCGACCCCTTCCCTTCTCATTGGCACCAAACGTTTGTGTTTTTCCTCATTCCACTGTTTTCTCATAGGAAATCGTGCAACGTGACTGAACCATTTCTGCTTCTCTTTGACTTCTACTTCTTGTCCTCACTATTGAGTCCAGTTTTTTTTTATTTTAAAAATTCCTTGTGGTAATTTTCTGAGTGGAACTGCCACTGTTTAAATTTGAGATAATTAAAAATGTTACCTTATATGAGACATTAGTGATTTTATTTTTATGGTGGAATTAAATGGGTGGAGTAAGATGTTGTTGAAAGAAAAACGATTTGAAGTGATCTTGCTGTTAATGGTTTTACTGAAATTTTACTAATAAAGGGTTCTGTTATATATGGTTCTTGCAGATTTTGATATTTGAATAGCGGGGTTTCTGAAGTGTTGATATTTGCTGTGATGGGAAGACAAAGTCCTGGAAAATGGATCAGAAACTTACTTCTGGGGAAGAAATCATCATCAAAGTCCAAGTCTTCTAGAGAGAAACATATTTATGTGAGTCTTTTTTGGCTTTTGTGATTGGGATCAGTATTAAACTATTAATTAATGTCTATAGTATAAAAATAGTATAAAGGGCAGATTTTTAACTGGTCGGAATTTACACATGCAGCATTAAAGTATACATTTTTGTTCTTTAATCCACATTATTGATCATATGTAAATGCCTAGAGTGAAAAAGCTTTTCTGGAATATATGTAGATTTACCACTCTTTTGTGTATTGACTGTAACTGTAACATGCAATTTGTAAGTGTGATTTCAATTCTGTTGTAAAGAAACCTTCAAGTAACAAGGATGTTCTGGTGGTGTCTTCCGAGGCATCCATGTCTACTCCAACATCTGGAGCTAATAATGCTACTAAAGGAGTGCTATCAGAAAAGGAAGTAGTTAGTATATCATCAAATGCACGATCTCTTTCTAATTTTGGTTCTGGGGACCATCATGAGAAAATCAAGCTAATAAAAGCAGCGATAATAGTTCAGGCTGCTATCAGAGGCTATCAGGTATTCACCTCTTAAATTTATACAATATTCTTTGGAAGTTATTATGTTCATTATAAAATTTCTAAATACTTTATTTTGTTACTTTTTTTGTTTTTGTACAAATTATTAGAGGGAAACCACTTTGTTCCGGTAACAACATATAACTACATTTTTCTTTTCCAAGTCTTTGGTGCTTAATGTTTATTATTCTGTCTTTGCTGTCTTGTGCACCCTTTTCTCTCTGAAATTTCATGAAGCTATTGATGATAAGTAAATATGATCTCTGTTTAACAATCTTTTGTCATCCGTAATTTTTTAAACAGAATTTTACAATTGTGTTTGACTTGAATTTTTCTTTAGTCCTAATTATAAACAACAATTATTAGTTTTAAAAGTTACTCATAGTTAAATTTCTTTTATACTTTTCATTTATTGTTAATTAGATTTTTTTATAGATTTACTTATAACTAACATTAAATATAACAATCATTTAAAACAAATGATATATTTGAAATAAAACTTAAATTTATGGTAAAATTAATTAAAAGTAATCATATTAATTACTTTTCTTGGTTTTGATAATTTATCATGTGTTGTATATAATCTGGAGTGGAGGTAGTATCTTTTATGGAGATATCCAATCCAATACTGGTTTCAGATTACTTATCCTGAGAGTATTCTACTAATATATCAATTTTCTTTTTCAAAAAATTAAGTATATATATGAATTGCACCATGTTTCTTGAGTTACGATTTTTATGAATTGGATTGGAATTTTGATACATATGATATGATACATTCTGTTTTTCAAGAGTTAATACTCGGAGATAGAAGAATGACATATACAGTGATTATAAATGCACGTGGACTTCCTGCTATTTTGAAGTTCTATAAATTTGTACTAGAGTATCCCAGCCACATCATATCCTACATTTTTCTTTTCAACTTTCCTGTTTATCCCATGTCGTAGCTGTGTGTATGGTGAATCTGGTAAAAAGTACTAGATATAAGTTATTTGGCATTTTTTTTTTCATAGTTCTTAATCTTTTAATCTTTAGATATTAAGCAAAATTTCATAATAATATGGTCGTCTAGCTGACATTTGTTATATTAGATGATGCATCGCAGTGTAAGTTATGACTATTTAGAAGACCTTGAGGGGAGTCCATTTGTTAGAAATGTTGACAGATATCAATTACAAACATCACTGCAGTCATGTAGGTTTTAAAAGTTTTCTGAGTTGAAAAATATTTTTTTTTTTCCCTTTATAGCTATTAGCCATGTTTGTTCAGCATTTTATTTATGATTAATATTTGGAATTTCCCTAAATATATTTAGTCATGGTAAATAACATCGTTGAAACTTTGGTCTTTAACTAAGTTGAATGATATCGTGTGATCTATGTAGTTGACCTCACCTAGTAAGATAAGGCTTTAATGTTGTTGTTATTGTTTGCATTTATGATATCATAAATTTAACCATAATTTATAAACTATGACTGCAAAATTCAAATTTCATAAACACCGATTCCTCATTTGGAAGTTTGAAATGTATGGTTTATGAATGCATAAAGTGATTCCTATATTATTACTCAATTGAAGGCGCGTGGGACATTTAAAACTCTCAAAGGTATCATACCACTACAAGCTTATATTCGTGGCCACTTGGTTCGAAGACAAGCTATTTCTGCTTTATATTGTGTGAAGTCAATAGTTAAATTTCAAGCATTGGCTCGTGGTTACAAGGTTAGGCACTCTGATATTGGGCTTGCAGTTCAGAAAATTTTTAAGGTAAACATGTGGTTTTTTTACCTAATTTTTTTATTAGACATTGGTTTTTCATTTAATCAATATTTGTGCGTCACATTACATAGCATAGATGACAAGATAAATTTCATCAGTTACCTTCTTTACCTTCTATGCATCAACTAACTGTTTCAATATTTTTTTTGCTCAGGATACTAAATTTCCAAATTCAATTGGAGTAGTTACATCCACACAGGCAATGATGCTCTCAGATAATATCTTTGTTCACAAGGTAGGAAGTATTTTGGTCTAATATACAAAGTTTAACTTGGCTTTTGTTCTGACTTTAAATGATATCATATAGCTTATTGAGTTTACTAAAACTAGAATCAAGATGTTATTATCAATTTTACGATCCATGAAGGTTATTACCCCCAACAAATATTAATTATTGGTTCTCTTCCTGCTAGCACAGAGCTATTTCTTTTTCAGTTTGCTGTAATAGTATGAATTGCCTTAAACGAAGACAAAATAGGATTATTTTTTTTTTAAATTTTCTTTTTCTCATGTTAAATATCCTATATGATTGACTTCTACTACCCTTGTTTAGATTGCTACATTCATCATCACGTTTCACACCATTTTATATTCATTATTTTCTTCAACTTTTTCGCTTTCCTCTGGTCATATTGGTTGTATTCTCATAGTTCCTATCTTTTACATGTTTTGTGAATCCTGACAATAATGTGCTACAAAATTTTCCTGGTATTTGTTAGTATACGTATGACTACAGTTATTTTTGGATATTGAAATGGCAATCCTCATGTTCTCTCTATTAATTGGAGGTTTCTAGCTCAGCCTTTTATCGGTTAATTACTAAATTCATGCACTCATTTACTGATATGATTTATGAAAATGACTTGTATTCATTATAATAAAAACAAAATTGGTGCCTGATTGATTGCAAGTTGCTAACTATTAGCATTTTATTGGTCAATCATTAAAACTCATTTACTGATATGATTTATGAATATGAATTGCATAGCAAAGGTTGAGAATGAAGGATGGTAGTCCTTTTCTTGTCCTTTATCCTTTTAAATGTTTTTGTTTTAGATAATAACTTATAGCACACATTATCCCTTTCAGCTTCTGGCATCATCACCCTCTGTGGTTTCTCCATATCTCAAACACAATGCTGGTGAACCTAACTTGGCTTGGGAGTGGCTTAGCCGCTGGACGAAATCACACTTTTGGCTACCTCTTCCAGAAGTGCAGAAACCTGATTCAATGTCTGATAAGAAAAATGGAAGCTGTCAAACAACTGAAACTAAAGAGGGACAAGTCAAAAGAAATGCCAAGATAGCACCTGCTGTGAGGGTTGGTGATGATTCAGTTTCAGATTCTAACAAACATAAACGGTCTCCCAAAAAGGATTCAAACCTCCCATTGCATTCATCCAAGGAACATCCACAAAAGGAACATGAGAAAAGAAGTTCCAAAAAGTATCAAATTCAGAATGTTTCTAATAAATCCGAGGTTGCTACCAAGAAGAGAACACACATCACAAGAAAAGTTTCACATCATGCAGTTAATGATGTTCCAGAGGAAGATGCTAGTGCTTCTCCAGAGACGATGAAAGATTTGTCAATGTCAAAGTTAAAACAGTCTGACATTGAGAAAAGTCTAGGAGATCAAGCAGAAGAGAATGAAAATGAGTCATGTAATGATACTAATCCTCACTTGCAATCTAGTTTGATGAATGTAAAAGATGGAGGAGTCATTGAGGACTTTAATGATGGTGAAAATTGTATCAACAATGTAAACTCTAAGAATTTCCAGAGAAGAGCTTCCCTACCTGCTAATTTTTCAGATCATGAAAATGTGTTACATAGTAACACTCCAAGAGCACTTCCCAGTTATATGGCTCCAACTGAATCTACAAAAGCCAAGCTAAGAGGCCAATGCTCTCCAAGGTCTGCTAGTGATTTGGTAGATGTAAACAGTTTAACTCGGCGGCTTTCACTTTCATCTTCGCTTAATGGCAAATTAGGTCCATTCTCTCCACGAGCAGATAGATTGGCAGTCTTGAGCAGCAAAGGAATGATGAGGACTGACAGATCTCTATCATCTTCTAGGGATGGAACTGGTAAGAATTTATTTTAGGATTTTGCACCTTTTTCATCTTTTGATGATGAGATGAACATTTGGTATTAAATTTTAGCTTTGCAATTCACTGAGTTTGTAACAAATGGTTTTGGAAATGCAAATACAATGACTTGCATAGACAGACACATACATTCATCTACAGAAACACAAGCTGAATTGCATGCTTATAAGTGGCTTTGTCATGCATGCTTATTTCTAATCTGTTTCAGGATTTGGGCTAGTCTTCATGTTTTAAAAGGATATGTTTGATTTATAACGAATAATATGATGCCTGTGTTAATATCCTGCTTGACAGTATTTGATTCTCTCTCTGCATATAAAGGAGGTGTATCAAGTGAAAACTCTTCTTAAAATACAAAACAATGAGATTGAGAACTAGTAATCAGAATCATACATCATACATAGATGTTAATATTAGAAGTTAATTACTACTTAAAAAAGTTACCTACATTTTTGTTTTTAATCTTGACTATTCAAATATGATGTAATGATATAAATATTCGGAGTTCTTATTTCTCACAATAAGTTTTCATTTGAGATGCCCTCTTTATACATAGATAGAGAGAGAGAGCAGTTCCGTGTACTTGAAATTAATATAAGAAGTTTTTTATTTTTTCTGTATCCCTGAATGATGTGGACTCTTTACAATAGCAGTGAACTCTGCTTGAAGCTTTAACTTTTGCACTCATCACTGTGTTACGTGGATATTATCAATTTCAGATAAGTTGACCCAACCTCAGTGGCGAAGGTGACTTTACCTAAGCTTTCAGATAAAAGATGCTGCATGGAGATAAAATCTTAGTCTTGTGAAATATATGCTGACTTGCGTTACATCATTGTGCCTTTCTTTACTCGTCATTCTTATTTGTGATCATCAATATTGATGCATATACATTGTGTAATCAGAGACTATCAAATGTTGGCGGGTATATATTAAGGAATCTTAGCTTTGTGATATTGTACTGCTCAGACAATTATTTCTAGGAATGCAATTATTTCAAATTTAAAGAATATTTTTTTGGATCAAATGTGTAATCCGGAATCAACATTGGATGACACAAGTGGTAGTAGCTTGTGTCTCTTAACCAAGATGGTTAGGGATTGAATTTTGATTTTAAATATGGAATAGATTATGTTGGGAGAAGAATACTCATTTTATCTGTGTTCACGATTCTCGGTAGAGATTAGTCACTACTTCCAGTAATAAATACTTTATATAAATACCATGATTAAAAAAAAATACGTGTAATCAGTAATGTTGTTACTGGTAGAGTGCCAATATGATGTATGTAATGTTTTAGCATCATAGATGGAATCTTAATAAGTGTTGAAAACAAAACATGAAAAACACAAGTGTATGACTAAACAAAATATAGAGGTTTAGATTAGAAAATCTGCGATATCACACAAAAAATGCAAAAATTGATCTGATATATTTAATTTATGAACTCAATTTTTCACATTTTGATAGTGTTTACAGCAAGTACTTAAATATTAAAACTAACTAACCCATTGGGTAAAACAAAAAGCAAAATATGACTAAGTTAACAAGTAAACATCACTTGCTTGCACAACTTACTTTTTCTGAACATAAGCAACCTTTAATCAAACTAACAAGCAAAACATAAAACTATAAAGACTTCAAAATATTTAATTATGATAGTGGAAAAATCTCAACTACTAACACTCCTCCTTGAGATTTTTGTTCATCACTTTAAGCTTTGATCTTTATCATCCTTTACACTTCTTTGTTGGATCTCTTTCAAGTAGATGAGTGTGGAGAAAAGATAGACCCTAGAAGGGGAGGGGGGGTTAAATAGTGTATATTAAAAACTCGCACGTTTGTAAGTCAGTGAAGTAGTATCTATGACAAACGAAGTGTTAGCAAGAGTAATCAATTAACATAAGAAGTTTTTATACTGATTCAGCTCAATCGTCAAGGCTACGTCTAGTTCTCAATCCAATCAGCTTGAGTTCAACAAAATTTCAATGAAGTCACAAGTATTCTTTCACTAAGTCACTTCTGTCTCAACACAAGTGTTCTTTGACTAGCTTCTTCAAGTCACTACCTAAGTATTCTTTTAATAAATAAGTATCTTCAGGCTCAACTCCAAGTATTCTTTTATAGACAAACGTCTCCAAGCTCTACTCTATAACATGGTTATAAAGGTATTATAAGGTTGTTGTTGTTGTCTCTTTTAAACATGACTACAATGAAAGTTTAAGCACAAGAGATCTTTTGAAGATGATTTTCTATATGCATGGTTCTCTCTTGTGTTGCATATGTTCTCTATATGTATTCTCTTGAGTTCCAAAGCTTTTTATATAGTATCTTTGAAAGAGATGACTGTTGTAACTTATTGAGTTTGATTTACAAAACTGCTTCATCTTACTCCTTTGTTTGATCTAGAGAAAGAGAAGAAGTATTTGTTGTTGTATTAAATGCTCCAATTAATGTCTTTCACCAAAATGTACTCCATATCTTTGATAGATTAAGCTATTTATCAAAGTAGAGCAACAAAGTGGGAACAATAGGAAGTAAAATAAGTGTGTAGCAAGGATGTAGTACTATTCATGTGCCTTTTTCGTCTAATTCAAGATCTTTGTCCTTTGTTCTAATGCCCTAAATGCCTTTATACAAATTTAATAGAATGTGAGTTACAAAACAAAAAGAATTTGTTTGTTAAGGTATAAAGCGTTCATTTGAAAATTCAAACGTGTCAGTCATAATAAATAATAGATGTTAAGAACATGACAAACAATTGTATGCTTCATCTATTTGTTTCGTCTTATAGACGCTATTTCGTCTTACATAGTCTAAAATAACGAGTTTTTGAGAGTGTTTTCTTGCTGAAAGATGTAGTATTTGTTATCATTAAAACTTATGAAAAATGAGGAATCTAAGATTGTCTTTAGACTTAATAATGAGCATCAATAGATTTAACATCTTTGATCTTAACATTAATTTTCTCACTTGAAATAAGAATCCTTGTAACTTTCTTAATACACTTTCCATCTTGAAAAACCTTTTCCATGAGAGTTTCAGCAACATTATCAACATTGTTCTTCTTCATAAAATTTACTGTTGAGTTGATAAGAATAAGTACAATAATTCTAACTAAATTTTTCCAATTAAAAAATTTATTTCCTCCATTGGCCAAAGTTATAACCATGATTGTTATAGCTTCCATGACCCATAAAATAGGATTTTTTTATAAATCCCAAAAGCTTGGAAACCTTATTTTCTTTCTTCTCTTCAAGTTTGTTGTTTCCAAAGGTGGATATCTCTTGAGTAGCTTCTACTATGAACCCATTTAAATCACATTTTAAATTCTAAAATGTCTATTCAAGTAACCAATTTTTCAAATCTTCATTTTTATTTAAAACAACATGCACGGCGTTTTTCTTCCATTCTATTGAAAAACTTTTATCTCTCATTTTAATAGACATAAACTCACACTCGAAAGGGTCAAAAATGGTGCATCCATATTTTTAAAACACAAAGAATAATTTTTTTCAAGCATTTGTCCTACACTCAAAAGGTTTTGATTTATTTCAGGCACAAATAAAACATTTGAAATATATTTGATACCTAAAGGAGTTTCAAAAGTAACAACTCCTTTATCTATGACATCAACACTTTCTCAATTGCTTATGGTGACTTTGAAGATTTGGGACTGATTTAATTCCTTGAAAATTGCAGTATCATGAGTCATATGATTTGTACATCCATTGTCTATGAGTCATGTCTCTTTGCTTTTACTCATTGAATTAGATGTAGCAGCAAATATATGTTCCTCATGTTGTTTTTCATGCTCCACAATTTGAGCTTGTTGTTCTTGTGGTTTTTTTATATTTTATTTTTTATTTTTTACAAACCTTCTCCACATGACCAAACTGATTGCAGATCCCACATTTAATGTTTGGCCTAAACCAACAAAAATTTTCAGTATAGTTGTTCTTCTTATAGTGATGGCATGGTGGAAACTTGTTTTTCCAACCTTTTCGTTGTTGCTTTTTTTCCTATTTTTTGTCTCTTGTGTATGCTATAAAAGCACATTCAGTATTTTCTTCCATCCTTAAAAATATTCGTTATTCACTAGCTTGTAGAGCATTGACAAGCTCTACAATTGATATTTGAGAAAAATATTTATTTTCTTCAAGAGCAAAGATTTTGGATTCAAACCTCTCCAGAAGACACACTAAGATTCTTTCCACAACATGTTGATCACTAAGTTTTTCACCAAGTAATTTGATTTGGGTAACAATCTTTAAAAGTTTGTCAGTAAAATCTTTAACAGATTCACTTTCTTTCATTTTTACGGCTTCAAACTCTCTCCTTAGGTTTAACACCTACATTCTTTTTATTCTTTCGCTCCCTTGGAATTCCTCCTACAGCTTATTTGATGCCTCTTTTGTTGTCTCAAGAGTCAGAATCTTGATAAATACATCATCATGTAGTGCTACCTATATAATGGCAAGAACTCTTTCTTCTTTCATCACTTCATCATTGTGACTCTTCATTTGAGCTATTGTTGGTTTTTTGGTAATGGAGGTGGATTACTTCCATTTTCCATTATAGCTCACAAACTTTGAGCTCTTAAATAAGTCCTCATTTTTGCAGCCCACAAGTAATAGTTTTCACCTACAAATATAGGGGGTGGAGGTAAAGAACTACTACCATAAGCCATTTTTTAGTTTGAAGGTTTTTTGTTGTTGTTGTTGGTTTTCTCTTTTTTCTCTCTCACAAGCCTTTAAAGATCAATAAAGCTCTTGATACCATGTTGAAAATAGAACATGAAAAACAAAGGTGTATGATTGATAGCGTTTCCGAGTCATTATCAAATAAAACTAGGTTTCTCAAAAATATTGTAATACAGATAACTAACCTAGGTCATCTCTCAAGGACGCAAGTTCATTCTATTTTTGGTTTTTATCGTGTAATTGAGTTAGGTTTGAGGGGTTTTGTTCAAACAGATTGTAAACAACAATACAAAAAATAGAAGATGCAATCTCAACACAAAATTTCAATATTATCAAATATCAGTTCAAGGTTTCAATTCCTACAGTGTAATTTCCATTGCTCACAACAAATATGAATTCTTAATCAACCTAATTCAATTTGAAATTAATCAATACAGAAATCTAAATCTAGATTATGAATTCCATTAAAACAAGAACTACAATCGCAAACTCTAAATCCTAACAAAATTCAAGAACAGTAATTGAATTGAATTAGGTTGATTTAGGTTATTTCAAATTTGAAATTGCATCTTCTCATTTTTGTTTAAGATTCAAAACAAAAATTTAATATCATGAAAAACGAAATTATCCTAAACAGAAAAGAGAAGAGGAAGAGAGAATTCGTACAACAAAAATTTGGAATTCAAATTTACCATAGTTCTTGAAACCGTAAATTGATCTCATAATCATGTTGCTTCAACCAATTCAAGTGAGAAAAGAGAAATTTCGTGAGAGAGAAGAGAAAGAAAGAGAGTTGAGAGAAACTGAGAGAAACTTCTTGAGCCAAAAATCTCAAATATGAAAAATGAGAAAAAAAATTAAATGCAAAGAGTCATTACATGTATTTAAAGACAAAGTAATGAGTCTAAACTAAGGGTCCAGCCCACTAATTACACTCCTAAAGCCTAATTAACTACAACTAAACAGTTTTAAGACAAGCTGAAAATTTCAGTTCAGAGCTGCGAGCTTGAGGCGCAATTTTGGGCTGGAAAACGTCTTAATTGAGTTTTTCTTCAAACATAGAAGTTTTAGATCTCCCTCTTATCTTTCTATGGACACCAAATTTTCCCAATTCTGAGTTGTATGGCTCCAGAGAAGGCATGCACAAGAAACTGTGTCAAAATAGGAAATTATTGCAGAAATTTAGTAAAATTTACAACTAAATCCTAAACGACTCACTAACACAAATTTAAACTAATACATGAATAAAAGAAATCAAATAAGGTAAAAAAAATGTAAAGAAAGATGTACTAAAATATGACTATCAATGAGTAAACAAAATATAAAAGTTTAGATTAGCAAATCTACAACATCACACATACAAAAGGGACAGAAACTAATTTCATATATTTAAGTTATAAACTCAACTTTGTACACTTTGAAAGTGTTT